GGAAGGGTCCCTCCTTCCCTCCCTCCCTCCCTCCCTCCCTCCTTACCTGCATGCATGCATGCATGCATGCATGAATATAAATAGTATATATATGTGTCTGTGTGTCTCCTCTTAGGGCGTCGTAATTTATTACCTAGTGTATCTATGGGTACATTAACAGGAGACGCAGTGCATGCAATTCAGGTGTATAGGCAGCCTACTATACAATTTACTGCAGATAAACATAATGTTGTGCATGCATGCATAGGTTATGTATCTCTTGGGGCCCCGCAGTTATTATCTAACTTTTATTCCTTTTTGCATGCACTAAAGAGTGCAGCACTAACTACTCCTTTACATCATAGGAGACACATTAATACTGCAGCAGCAGCAGCAGCAGCAGCACCAGCAGCACCAGCAGCAACAGCAGCAGCAGCAGCAGCAAGTAATGCTTTCCTTAAGATTATTAAATGTATACATATCTGCAGCACCATGGGGCCTTCTATTAAGGTTGATCTACGTGCATGCTCATAGCAGCAGCAGCAACTGCTGCTGCTGCTGCTGCTGATGGTGGTGCTTGCATGCATGCAAGAAACAGCTTAGGGGTTGATTGCTGTATGCAGCCCTCTTCCCTGTCTCTTTTTGTCTCTTTTTGTCTCTCCTTTCTTTGTTTGTCTCTCTTTGTCTCCTTCTGTCTCCTTCCTCTCTTATAAGGAGAGAAGAAGGAGAAGAAAGGGGGGGAGGAAGCGGTGCCCGATTGGCTGTCCCTAACACCCCCAACAGGACAATACGCATGCATGCATGCATTATACGCAGTGCATGCATGCATGCATGCGTGCATGCATGCATACAATGCATGCAACCCCAGCAATGCCCATTATATAGGCATGGGGATAGATATAAAAAAGGAGACACATTTATATTTATTTATTTATTTATTTATTTATTTATTTATTTATTTATTTAGTATATATATCTGTAGATACACCTCGTGTGTCTTGTTGCTAACACACAACCTTCTGCAGTAACTGCTAAACCCTAAACCCTAAACCCTAGACAAAGGGCGGCAATGTTGTGCACACAGTTCTGCTGCAGTTGGTGTTGCAGGGGCAACAACCCTGCTGTTGCTATTGCTGCTGCTGCTGCTGCTGCTGTATGTACTGCTGCTATTTTTCCTGAGGCAGCGATCTGCTTGTGTTGCTGTTTCAGCCATTGTTGCTGCAGATGCTGCTGCTGCAGATTCTCCTGCTGCTGCAGTTGCTGCCGCTGCTGCTGCTGCTGCTGCTGCTGGCGTAACTGAGCAGGTCTCAGGGTGTTAGCTACAGGTGGCACTTGTTGTGTTATTTAGTCTGTATAAAAGGGGAATGTAGAGGAAAGTTAAGATATACGTCTAGGGTTTAGATTGAATGGACTCATGTAGCTAAAACCCTAAACCCTAAACCCTGCTGTCCTCTAAACCCTCGGCGGTACTGAGGGAGGTCACTAAACCCTAAACCCTCGGGAGTGCTTGTCTTGCTAAGTTGCGTCTCCGTCTTTATTCCTTTATAAATATAAATAATGATCTATTTGTTTGCTACAGCTACATCAACAGCAGCAACAGCAGCTACAGCTGCTGCTGCTGCTGCTGCTGCTGCTGTGGCTGTGGCTGTTGCACTACCCGGTGTGCAATGGCTGGCTTAGCCCGCGGAGGACCAATGGAGCGCTAGCCGTGCACAGCAGCAAGCGAGGGGACATTTTGCTTGTTTTTGTTCCCTCTTTTATCTTTTAAACAAATAATAAAGCTATAATGTATATTTAAATATATTTTCTGCATAAAAAGAGGCAATAAGCACACCTACAAGAATCTATTGGCTCCTATAGCGAGGGAGGGGGCCCTCTCCTTTTACAGCGGCGTTACGGGCCCCATCCTCTTTCCTGCCTTGCTTTTTGCCTTCTTTTCCTTCTCTTTAATTATATTAAGTCTGTTTATTAAGAAAATAAAAGGGATTTTGTGTCTCTTGGGGTTTACTGCTTGATAAAGTCTAGCTAGCTGTCTGAGGTGACCCTTGCCTGAGGAGAGGAAGGAGGCATAGGTGGTTATAGGGGTAATTGTGTGTGTTTTTCTTTTCTTCTTGTCATATTTATACAATTATTTACATTTAATTGAATAATTGTATATAATATTGCCCCTAAATGGACTCACACTGCCGTATGGGGCCCATTGGGGGCCCTCCTGGCCTCCCAGCCAAGGAAACCTGTACACGTAGCCCTATACCTATGGCGGCCCTACATCTCCCTCTTATACAAAACACGGACTCTCTTACGGAGCAGATGAGGAGGTTGGAGTTAGCGCATGCAGCAATGAAGAGAGAGGAGGTGGACTGCAGCAACCGCAGCAACCGCAGCAACCGCAGCAACAGCAGCAGCAATAGTAGCTACAGCAACAACAGCAACGATGACGACGACGAAGACGACAATAACAGCGGCAATATGTACAGCAGGAACTATTATAACAACAGTAATTACAGAAGCAGCAGCAGCAGCAGCAGCAGCAGCAGCAGCAGCAGCAGTAGGCATTTGTCTACACCCGTCAGCAGCTGCGTCTCTGATGTGTTTCCTCTTGCACCTGATTCACACTCTTTCTTTCCTCCTTCTCCTGCAGCGAGAGCAGCAGCAGCAGCAGCAGCAGCAGCACAACCAGCAGAGACAAAAGGAACCCCAATAACAGCAGCAGAAGCAGCAGCAGCAGCAGAAGAAGAAGAAGATCCTTTCCCTGCTAGCTGTTACTCTACTCGTTGCATGCGTACCCGCTGCATGCGCCGTCTTCCTAATGTTGCATGCAATTCACGGGGCTGCATGCAAGATATACAGATATCTTCTCCTTTTGATGAGGAAAAAGAATTTACTTCTTTAATTAATAATTATAATAATATTAATAGTATTAATAATAATAATAAATATAATAATAAATATAATAATAATAATTATAAATATAATTATTATAATAATAATAATACCTATAAAATTGTTCTTACAAGAACAAGAAGAGTACCAAGAAGAAAAATTAACATGCAAAAACTGTAAGAATCTCCTGCTGCTGCTGCTGCAGTTGCTGCTGTTGCTGTAGCTGTTGCTGCTGCTGCTGTTGCTGTAGCTGTTGCTGCTGCTGCTGTTGCTGTTGGTGCTGTTGATGCAGCTGGCTGTTGCTTGTGTTGATGGTGATGGTTTTAGTGGTGCTGCAGCAAAGTGCTGCTGCTGCTGCTGCTGCTGCTGCTGTTTTAGCCTAGCCACAGGCGGTGATCCCTCAGGGTTTAGGGTTTAGGGTTTAGGGTTTATTGCATGTGTGTCTGCAGCGAGGAGTTTGTAGCTCAGCAAGGAGGGAGCAGCAAGTATGAGGAGACCTTTATGAGCAGCAGCAGCAGCAGCAGCAGCAGCAGCAGCAGCAGGACATTAGAAGGTCTTGCTCTTGCTTCTTTGCCTCTATGCATGCAAAAGAAAGCCCCAAAAAGGAGACGATTTAGCAGCACAGGATCCGAAGGAGGAGGAGACACAAAAGAAAGAGAAGACGAGGCAAATTGTCTCCTTAATTTGTCTCTTCCTTCCTCGCCCTCTGCACATTTTAAGAGGACGAAGACCGTCAGCAAATAGACGAAGCAGCAGCAGCAAAGCTGATGTACTTGCTGCTGCTGCTGCAGTACAGTTGCTGCAGCAGATGATGCTGCACCTGACGCTGCAGCAGCAGCAGCAGCAGCAAATGCTGCTGTATCTAATAATTTTATTGCTGCTGCTCCCTCTACACACTTTATGAGGACGAAGACTGTCAGCAAATAAAGTATACAGCAGCAGCAAGCTATATGCTCTTGTTGCTGCTGCAGCAGCAGCAATAGATGTTGCAGCAGATGCTGCTCCTGATGCTCCTGCTGCAGCAGCAGCAAATGTTGCTGTAGTTACTACTTTTACTGCTCTTGTTCAGCCCAGTTTATGCAGCAGCGGAATAAATATATACTTTTACAGCTGCATGCATGCAGCTACTTGCATGCATCGCATGCATGCATGCATGCATGCAAAAAGCCCCAAAAATAAAGGGGAAGGGAGTCATGAGGTTTTTTTTCTTATATTATTTTGTAGCAGCAATCTCTTAATATGTTTATATAAAGATTCTGCATAATTCGTCTTTTATCCATCAACCTCAATATTTTCTCCCTAATATTTCCTTACTAATTAATTGTGCTGCTGCTGCTGTGCTGCTGTTGCTGTGCTGCTGCAACGCCGCTGCTGTTGCTGCTAGTGCTGCTATGTGGAGCCTTGGAAGGCTGTATTTGCAGCAATGTATGTAGGCGAGCCTCTCAGCACGCTTAGAGTCTAGAGCGTAAGGTTTAGGGTTTAGGGTTTAGGGTTTAGGGTTTAGGATCTACCTAAGACAGTGGCGAGGTTGACAGACGGCCGTTGTGCCTACGGCAGCAAGCAGCAGTTGCTTCTTTCTTTAATTAAACTGTCTCTAGTCCATCTTTATTAAGGAAGCGCATGCAAAAGAGAAAGAGAGACACAATCCTTTGCTGCTCCTGTCTTGCGCCTCCGCTACCTATCAACTGCGGCCTTCGAGCTCCTCTGTACCCCTGGGGCCCACCGGGGCCCCTCCCCTAGGGGCTTCCCCTTAAAGTAAGTCTTAATACCAATAAGGGATAATGAATATGTTAGAGAGAAGACAGCAACAAACACAAAGGAGACGACAGACCAGTGGAGTCCTGGCTAGTAGGAGGGACAACTGTGCTTAAGGGAGAAAGGGAGAAATAAAAAACATTAATTCAATTAAAATTAAATACATAACTCATTAATATGCAATTAATGCACGGAAAACCCCGGAAAAGAATGGGGACCTGCTGGCTGCACTGAGGCCCCAGCTGTCGCCTTGCATGGGGGCCCCTGTCCATTGTGGATGACTGGGGGGACCTTGCTTAAGAGCGCCTAATCCCCTTCTTCCTCTGCAAGTAACAAGTAATAGAAGTAGACTCATGTATTCTTTATTAATAAGAAGTAGAGGGCAAACATAACTTGTGTGTATAGGCCTGTCCCTCTCCACAGGTTGATCCTCCTCCTCGTCTTAGCTCCCTATACTGGATCCACATCGGGGTGTGCCAAGTAGTCTAGAAGCTCAGGAGGGAGATGCCTCGAGGCTGACCTACTTGTGCACCTGTCATCTCCAATGGGAGGTGGATACTCTCCGCACCAATAAAGCCTATACGAATCGTGGGGTGCACGAGCACCAGGTAGTGCAGAAGGCGGGGTTAAAGGCGAAAGGCTTAGGAACATTGCTCAATAGAGGAACAACGCTACTAAGTTGATTGTTCGAGGGAACAGGCATTGAATTACCTATCGATGGATATATTGTAGAGAATGCATGCCCGCGTCGGCTGGTGCATCAGTGTCCTTTGCTATTCAGGCTTCCAATTAGATACCTCAAGAACCAGATCTCCAGAAGAAAATGGAAAAGGTACAGAAGACAACTGCATCTATCTATTTGTGCAGGGATCAGGCAATTCAGGCTCCGGCAGAAGGGTAGCAGTGAAGGCTCGTTAAGTATAGCAACGGGCCTCGGAGCTAAAGTTTCCTTGTACACCAATAGTTTAGTTAGTTTAAAGTTGAGGGAGTTACGAATTAAATATATTCCTGATTACTTCAAGATGACAGTCATTGTCAATTCTGCACTTGACTGGGGAACTTTTAAAAAAGTCCATTTTCAATATATGTTAGTTATTCATTGGAACAGGAGCAAAAATATTAAGGTAGACTTTTCCTGCTTTCTGCCAGCACACTTCCGGCATTGCCAGAGTGCTGCGATGTAACTGTTTGCTGGTCAGTTTTATAGCAGATCCTTCAACATTAGGTAATTAAACACCCCAAGGAAGCCGATAACTAGGCAGCCTCGTAAGTGTATAAATAACTGCTGAAAGACTTGCGGTACTACTCCTTGGTAGCTTCTGCCTCCTCAGCAAGTTGGCAGGACTCTGTTGGTGTGACAGCTTCCTCTTCTGCAGCTGCTTCGGCCTTCTTTTCTGCCATCTTCTGCAATATGCCTGCTAACGCAAGCAGGGGATTGAATTCTTCAGGTTCTTCCTGCTCCATACCCTGAGGAAAAAGGGGCCAAGCCGGTTTTTTGTTGGTTTCCACCACTACGTGATTGTTTCTACACCTCTTCAGACGAGTGCAGATGACTCTTTTTGTCTCCATGGAAGAAAGGTTTAAATGGGTGTGTTAACACGCTGTGTTGGTTTAGGGAAGTCGTTGCAATCTGCAAGCCCTCGTTGCTGTGAGAGGGGCCGCTCATTTAACTCTCGTCAACGAAGTATCGAATGTGTAAGCGTGTTGGTGCAGCTCTGCGAACAGTTGTCAGACTGGCTTGGAAATCTTTCACTGAATTTTCATTCTGATCAAGGAAGTTTTGTCGCTCCTTCTGGAGGGCCCATAACGAATTCTGCAGAGATCCGTCCTCGTAAGCCGCAAATAACAACTACGGACACACACGACACGAACAACGCCGTTGGCTGAAGACGCAAGGCAATAGGCGAGTTGCATCCATACGGTGTACGGATTCAGCATATAGCTCAAAATGTGTATGCTGCCTTGGAGCTGGGACCTCGCCGCGCTGAAGTTTCTGTGGCTATGGCAACAGGTGACTGCACGGAGAAGAAATACTATGTGCTGAAACTTATGGTCACTCAGTGAAGCGCACTTATTGCTGGTATAATCAAACGTTGAGTTCACACGCATGTGCGAGTCTACTTATGTCTAGCTGCGAAAAGGGTTTCGTGTGCGTAAATATAGGAACCATCCACTGAGGGTTTAGCTCTGCTGCGGCAGTGACTAGTACCTCGGTTAGCGCCTGCACCAAGACAAAAGGCACAACGCGAATTACATGTACCTTAAAAGTACTACAGCAGTGTGTTGCAGTGGGTGACCCCCACCTCGTCCCCTTCCCCTCAAACCTCAAGCTGAATACCCACTAGATTGAATGCAACGGCTGTGTAGTTGTTCGTGCCTGTTGGATTGTAGGGAGAACAGACGTCTTAATATATTCGATGGCTGGACTTTCCAAGGTATCTGCCTCTCTACTACAAATATCAGAAAAGCACAGGGCAAACGGTGACCCAGTGTCTGTCTCGTCACTGCAGGAGCCGCATTCTAAATTTATTTCTTCCTCGTCTCCATCAGCTTCCCTGTCGTCTTTTGTATTTGAGCGGCATCCTCCACTCCCCTGATCGGTGGGGGAACCACTACCGATGCCACTTTCTCGGTCAGACACTACGAGTACAACAGAAAACCAAGCGCACTTTCCATGATGTTCTTTCCTATCACCCTGTAATTGCTGACTCGAAATCCAGCAAAGTTTCAAACTCGTGTAAGTGCTGCCCAATGCCCCCCACTGCACCACAGCCTTTGGGGTGTGCAACCAGATACTACACGCCAGAGGACACACATATACATGGCTACTCCATTGGAAGAAAGACCTTGTATGTGTCTGTAGACTCCAAAGCCCAGCCAAATTACTCTAATATTTGGTGAGTATAGCTATAAAAAGAAGCTTGTTAAGGACAATCGCGTTCGTTGCCTGTGTGTGCGCTGGCGATCGTCCTGTACGAATGGCCTCACTGCTGGCAATATAATTTCCAATAGGTCTCCTGTTAATTATTAATGCCTTTTTCCTTTTAAAATGGTATATTATTAATGTAAAGTCTGCACCACCTGTGTACAGCATCCCCGTACAGCAAGATGAAGTTCTCCTCATTGGGATGCATGCAGATGGGGCTGGATTTCTCTCGGTTGATTTTCTTCCACTTTAACCCAGACGCCAACGAGAAAAAAAATCATGTGTATGATTTTGTAAGCATATACCCCATCTACATGTATTATTTGGCGTTGTTACCTCTGATCTCCTCATTCTGAATATTTCTCCAGAATAGGGAAATGACACACCCACAGGGTAACAGAAGGAAAACCGTAAGGATGCATGGTGATCCATGGTCATCTACATCCCACAAGATTTCATGTCTCTAGATGGGAAGAAGCCGTAACCTGGAATGCATGTGATTTGCAGTACTACACTGTAGCGTACTGTGTGCGATGTTAACAGGTTTGCCTGAATTGGGCAAGTGAACCCTTAAGCAGCCGTAGTGTACAGCAGATAGGCAAGCAAGCGTTCTCAAAACCGGTTGACAATGATCAGACATACAGTTAAGAAGGTTTGTTTTTTTTTTTGTATTTGGTGCTGGCTTGCACCTCGAGTTGCAGTAGGGTGCGTTGCAAAGCATGGCAGGCCGCCTCTTCTCTTGCAGTTACAGGAGCTTCTGCTGTTCTGCCCAGGACGCCTGCAGATTGGATAGCTCCATCTATGGAATTTTCGCCTTAAGCATTTTGGCTCCATTGCAGTCCACAGGAACCAGCGAAGGAGGTTCTGGACCAGCGTTACAGACCCTCTACCTGTTTGTACAATCACGCGTTAACGAGCCAATAAGTTGTGGCTTATATATAACTATTAGGGTGTAAACAGGAGGTGCAGTCTTGAGTGTACGACTTGCTTTCAACGAATTTGGACCACCTCTTAACTAAGCTGGTGCAGCTTCCAGCGAGCCCACGAGGCAATGACATAGTGCAACTCTCAACACTTCTACACCTCTATTGGACTGGAATCACTGTCCCAAGAAAAAAAGAACAAGAAGACTCCAGCGCAATGCATAAGTGCTTAAAGAGAGGAGAAATTGTGCATATGAGTCAAACTATAGCCGCGCAACAAACATATAGTGAAGCCAACGTCTTCAATGTCTCGGGTTGACGAAATGATCAATAGCTTGAGATGTGCAGCAGCCTATTCAGCGTTTGGGTCTTGGGATACTTGCATGTCTGCTGTCTATTGAGAGCCCCGTTAAAGTAAAAAGACTATCTGCAATGATCTTGTGAAGAGAAAAGGTCGGTTTGCTCTGTCTTTCTGTGTCACGTCGTTGCAGCACGAGTTGCAGCAAGGAATGCTGACGCCGGTAGCTCCCTCGCTCAAGGCGGGTCCATGATATTTCCTGCTGAGAACAGTGAGCTGTAACGGAATCGAAATACTTGATATGAGAGTTACTTAGATGCAACGGATCTCACTCCCCAGTATCCTGGCTCTTTGCCCAACTCCACGGGCTTGAGCTGATGAGCTCGCGGTGTTGCAATGAGGAGTGTTGCAACTGATGACAAGACACCTCTTCCCCCCCAACTTTACGGGTTTGAACTGATTAGCTCGGTAGGGGGCAGCCTGCCATGAGTTGCAACCTTGCACCTTGCAACTCCTTGCGCACGGCAACCGCACATAGAAGGACATTGTGTACAAACACTGTAATGAATTGTTGAAACCTTTGCATGTATACTTTGTGTCTACTAGGGTTGCCTATAAGATTCCATGTGCCCACTTATGGAGTTGCCAACATTGAACATAGTATGCTATCCCCCCCCTCCCTCAAGGGGGAGCACTGCACTGCTGCCCTTAAAGGACCTTAAGATTGGGTAATTGATCTTTTGCTTTTCTCAAGGGGAACTTTAAAAATTGTATTTTTACCTCCTTTTACCTCACAAATGCTTTTTATTTAGACAAAATTTCTCCTCTCTTTCTTTCTCTCTCCCTCTTGTGGCAGTGTCTGGCAGCAAGATCATTGGGGGTTTCCCTACTTGTCAATGATTTTAAAGTATTTATATGCTAATTTAATTGCATTAATACTAATTAAAGCTGTTTTATTTGGTGCACTTCAAGGAAAACGTTGAAGGGGTGCCCATACCCTGCAGTGCACGAGGCCCGCTGCAGGCGAGCGGGTACGGTGTGTGCTTGTGCCTTTTGTATATGGATCTTCTACCTCCATGTGTATATTTTATTGTTTATTTTAGCTCCTTTCCCTTTTAATTAACCAAAAAGAAGGAGAAAAGGAGGAGAAGAGAGAAGGAAAGAAGCAAGGTCCCTTCCTCTTCAATGGGGAGGGAGGGAGGCGGGAGCGCGCAGCTGCATCCATGGAGCCCAGTGCCTCTCCTCCTCATTGAGGAGATAAATAACATTATTTACTATTTATTTAACTTAATACTGATAATTTAAATAAATTAACGGAATAATTACTTCTTTTTTATTGTATTTACGAGCAGTAGACACCCAAGGGCCCATCGGGCGGTGTGTGGTACATCCATTGCCGGGCTGCTGCTGCAAGCGAACACTGCAGCAGCAGCAGCAGCAGCACTGCTGCTGTGTACTGCTGCATGATTTGTTTGTTTGTGTTGTGTTATGGCTCCATAGGGAGGTTGTTTTGTGTATATTAATTGTTTTTTAACTGCTAGTCTTGCCTATTTCCTTCTCCCTTGTCTGTACAGGTCAAGGAGAAGGCAGGCCTTGCTGTAGCAAGCGCAGCAGCAACTCCTAGAGCAGCCCAGCAGCAGCAGCAGCAAAGCGCTGCTGCTGCTAAGGAGGTGATTATTTCCTCCATTTCCCCTTATAATTAAGGGGTTTATATATAATATATTAGTTGTATAAATTCCCTTTCTTCCCCAATAAATACATAATTTTCTTGTGTTTTGTCTCTGTGGGGATCAATCAGTAAATAAGTATATTATAATTAATAATTATTGTTATTAAGGAAAGAAAGACCTTTATTTGTCTGTTTTTGCTGCTGCTGCTGCTACTGCAGCTTGCTGCTGCTGGATATGGTGCAGCAGGAGCTTTCTCTCTCTTCTCTATCAGGCTTCCCTTCCTTAGGGGAGGCGAAGGATCCCCCTCTGCCTGCGGGTGCTTGGGGTGTACGTGCTGCAGCAGCAAAGGTTGCAGCAGCAGCAGCAGCTGCTGCTGCAGCTGAGTCTGCTCCTCCCCAATCCTCTACAGCACAAACAGCTGCAGCAGATGCAGCAACAGACGCAGCAGCAGGTGCATCAGCAGATGCAGCAGCAGGTGCAACAGCAGATGCAACAACAGATGCTGCAGCAGCAACATTAGGCCCTAAGATGTCTCCTTCTCTTGCTGCATGCGCTACTACCGAGGGAGAAGGAGACGATGATGATAATCTACTGTCTCCTCAGGTAACAACTCCTCATAGTCCTAATAGTACCACGACCTCTGTAGAGGGGACGAATACAACAGGACATGATGAGGGCAGCAGCAGGAGCAGCAGCAGCAACAGCAGCGTAAGGGAGGATCCAGAGCCACATGAACAGGTGCAGGATCAGGAGCACGATCAAGTGCAACAAGAGCAGCAGCAGAAGCAGCAGCAGCAGCAGCAGCAGCAGCAGCAGCAGCAGCAGCAGCTATTTGATACTACCGGTAACAGGGGAGGAGAAGATGTATCTAATGATTGTGTAGACGAAGTATCTCCTTTTGGGGATCGTGGGGATCGTGATGCTAGTGAGGATAGTGGGGATCGTGTGGATGGGGATCGTGTGGATCGGGATCGGGATCGTGTGGATCGGGATCGGGATCGTGTGGATCGGGATCGGGATCGTGTGTATCGGGATCGGGATCGTGTGGATCGGGATCGGGATCGGGATCGTGTGGAAGATGAAGATGTAGATAGGGATCGTGTATTATATATGCGTGATTTTTTATCAGTTTTATCGCGTGTAGAGTTACTAGATGTATTAAGTAAATTAGCAGCAAAAAAAGAATATGTATATAATGCATGCAAAGAAAGTATATTAAATAGTATATGTTTACGACGTATAATGGTAAGAAATATACATTATAATACAAAAGAAAATATATTTAGATCTTTTTTTCTTTCTTTTGGTCCTATACAAGAGGCAGTAATAATAAAAGATAAGGAAGGAAATAGTAAGGGATTTGGATTTATTACCTTTATGGATCTGCATGCAGTTAATAAATGTCTTGCTTATTCTTCTTCTTCTTCTTCTTCTTCTTCTCCTCCTCCTCCTCTTATATTAGATGGGAGATTATTACATGTTAAGCTTGCTGCTGCGCATGCAGCTAGTGCTGCACATATAGCTATGCATGCATATCCATTCTCTACACTACCAAGACACCAGCAGCAGCAACAGCAGCAACAGCAGCAACAGCAGCAACAGCAGCAACAGCAACACGAGGAACAACTGCAACAGTTGCAACAGCTGCAGCTGCAACAACAGGAAACACGATTACTAGTACGTAATCTGCATGCAGATATAACTGAGGATACACTCCGTGGTGTATTCATAGATGATGGACTTTTATCTATTTATATACCCAAGGATATACAAGGAAATAATAAAGGTTATGCATTTCTTTCTTTTTCTTCTCCTTTTTATGCATATAAAGCTATGCAACATAATAAAAGAAATATTAATGGTAAAATTATTTATCTACATTATGCATCCTCATCCTCTTCTTCCTCTAATAAACAGCAGCAGCAGCAGCAGCACCAGCAGCAGCAGCAGCAGCAGCAGCAGCAGCAGCAGCAGCAGCAGCGACAGCACCCTACTCCTGCTGCTGCTGATGGTGCTGATGGATATGGTGCTGTTGATGGTGCTGATGGAGATGATGCAGCAATGCAGGAGGGAGGGGGCCCTAGGGGCCCCTCGGTACCCTCTAATCCAGAAGAAGAAGAAGACGATAACAACAATAGTAGGGGAGGAGACGGGGCCCCTACAGCCGGGGCCCCTAACTCTACACATCCTCATAAATCGTACAACAGAAGATCCACCATGAATGGGGGAGGGGGGGCCCCATCAGAGGCCCCTACTCGTGGTGGCGGGTCTCAGCATGCAGCAGCATCGGGGGCCCCATCAGGTGCAGCAGGTATAGGAGGGGTACCCCATAGGGGCTCCTCTTCTCGTTCCTCACAAGGAACATCTAATAGCTGGAAGGGAGGGGGGGGGCCCCTTTATGGGTATGAAGGTCGTCCCCGTAACAGGAGACATGCTAATGACCTCAGGGGCCCCCCTATGGGGCCCCCACCCCTTGCGGCCGTCGGAGTTCCTATGGCCGCGGGGCCCCTTCCAGGTGGGCCCCTTGCAGCAGGTCACTTGCCCGGTGGGCCCCTCCCAGGTGGGGGGCCCCTAGCAGGGGCCCACCTTCCAGGGGGGCCCCCACCACCGCAGCAACTAGGAGGAGATGGTCTTGTGTATGGGGATGGTACTTATGGGGATTTATATAGATATGCATTGTCTCCTTATCCTTTTATGCCTCTGCATGCACAGGGTACCCAAGGGCCCCATGATATAAAGGGGCCCCTTGTTGCTGCTTCTGCTGCTTATGCACATCTTTTATCTTATCCGCTTGCCCCTTTCTATCCTATTCCCCCTGATGTGCAGCAGCAGCACTACGCCAGCCATACACAAATAAGAGACAGGGCACTCCTGCAGCAACAGCAGCAGCAGCAGCAGCAGCAACAGCAGCAACAGCTGCAGCAGCAGCAGCAACAGCAGCAACAGTTGCAGCAACAGCAGCAGCAACAACAACAGCTGCAGCACTAGCTGCTGCTGCTGGTGGTTATGGTGGTGGTGGTGGTACTATTACTGTCGCCGTGGGGATCTCCTTGTAGTTGCTGCTGCAGCAACCAGCAGCAACTGCTGCCTCGCAGCAGCAGCTGCTGCAGCAGCTGCTGCTGCGAGGCACGAGCCTCAATAAGGCCCCAATTCTATTTTTGCATGTGCTGCAGCAGCAGCAACTAGAAATTTTATTAATAAAATAAATAAATAAATAAATAAATAAATAAATAAAATAAATAAATAAATAAATAAGCAATAGTTAGTAGTAAATAAAAGGAAAAAAAAAGAGACAAATAAATTAATAATAAAAGGAGACACTTGCTGCTGCTGTTTTATTAATTATAATAAAAGGAGACAGTTGTTGCTGCTGCTGAATAAAAAGGAATTAGTTTACATATAAATAATATAAATAAATAAATAAATAAATATTTATAAGAGACAGGAAAAAGCAGCAGCAAAATCTTTATTTTGCTGCTGCTGCTGCTGCTGCTGCTGCTGCTGCTGCAGTTGCTGCAGTAAACGAGGGCTGTTATTGATCCACGCCTTTACTATTAAGAAGTAGCAGCAGCAGCAGCAGCTGCTGCTGCAGCAACATAACAGCAACGTTTGCGACGCAGAGAAGAGACGCATTTCTTTCTCTTTCCTGTTTACTACAACAGTTAGCTAGCTAGCCATAGACAGCTGTGGCTAGCTAGCTAGCTGTAGATAGCTATAGCTAGCTAGCTATAGCTAGCAAGTTACAGGTAGCTAGCTAGCTAGCTAGCTAGCTAGCTAACCTATAGTGTGCATAGGGGGAGGTGTATAGATATGATTGTATTTGCTGCTGCTAGTCTAGTAACAGTCCCCCCTTATCTGCAGCAGGAGGGCCCCCTGATGCAGCAGCAGCAGCATGTGGCATTTGCTGCTGCTGCGGCTGCTGCGGTTGCTGCAGCAACAGCAGCAGTACGTGCCAATAGCAGCAGGAGGCACCGCAGCGCCTCGTCTTAGGGGGCCCCTGCCTTCCTCTTTCTGTTTAGATTGCTGCAGCACTAAACCCCTTAGTTGTACCTAGGGGCCCACCATCCCCATTCCTGCGGTGTATAGGCAGCTGCATGCGTGCATGCATAGAGGAAGTAGTAAAGCAGCCAGCAACAGGGGAAGAGCAGCAGCAGAGGGGGCCCCTTAGGGGACCTGGGGCCCCTAGGGGCCCCCCTATAAAGCGCATGCAGCCCCATTTTAAGCAGCAGCAGCAGCAGAAAGAATGAACTAAAGAAACGGGCACTGAGAGCGACGGGTGTCTAAAGGCAGGTATGTACACCCCAGTGAGGGAGCAGCAGCAGCAGCAGCAGTAGCAGCAGCAGCAGCAGGTTGTATATATAAGGAGGGAATAGTGTATAATTAAAATAAACAAGTTAAATATAATAAAGTTATTTATATTATAAATATTGCTATTTAACAGAAACATGTACGTATCCCTGCTGCTGCTGCTGCTGTTGCATGGCGGCCCCGCTGCAGCAGCAGCAGCAGCAGCAGCAGCAGCAGCAGCAGGGCGCTGCTGCTGCAGCGACAGAAGCGGCGTGCAGCAAGAGTTGCGGCGAGGGTTTAGGGTTTAGGGTTTGTGGTTTGATCTTTAGCTGCAAGAAAACAAGATCTTTTATTGGGACTGAAGGTATAGTTGTTTCCTGTTGGTTTAGGGTTTAGGGTTTAGGGTTTAGGGTTTAGGGTTTAGCGGTGTCGGTCGTCGGAGAAGAGCCGGCGGTTGCTGCTGCTGCTGCTGCTGCTGCTGTTGCTGCAGCAGCCTGCTGCTGCTGCTGCTGCTGTTGCTGCTGCTGCTGCTGCTGCTGCTGCTGCCCCCCAACGGATTTGATTTGGGGTTGCTGCTGCTTGCTGCTGCCTTCAGGGTCTGCTGCAGGAAGGTCCTTTTCTTTCTTTTCCCCTTAAGTTTATTTTCTCTTTATTGAGGGTTTATTTATTTCTTTCTTGCTGCTAGCAGCAGCAGAGTGTATGCATGTTGGCTAAACCCTTACAGCGGCGGTTCCTGCGGCGGTAGGCTACTGCTGCTGCAGCTCCAGCTACTGCTGCTGCTGCTGCCGCTGCTGCTGCTGCTGCTGTTGCAAGTGTTTCTCTATGGTGTATGTACACCTCAATATTGACCTTGCCTTATGCTTCCTGTCTTCTGCTCCCTTCTGCTGCTGGGGGGCTTTGCTGCTGCTGCTGCTGCGGCCCAGACGCGCCCCGCTGCTCCTGCTGCTGCTTGCCGCTGCTGCTGCTGTCATGCAGGTGCTGCTGCTGCTGCATGCATCCCTTTCTCTCTCCTTTGTTCTATTTGCTGCTGTAGGGGGGGGCCCGGGGCTCCCCGTCGCCTCGGGGGGCACCAGCGGCCCTCCTCCTCACTCTCCTCCACCACCCTCCTAGGGTTTAGGGTTTAGGGTTTAGGGTTTAGGGTTTGTGTGGCTGCGTGATTGCTTACAGGGCTCAATAAGGTTAAATTAGGGTTTGCTTCTTGTTGCACATATAACCGGCTAGTACTTCAGGTGTACAGACACCTGAATCTTTCTTCTTGCGGCCTGGGGCCCCCCCTTAGGTCTGCCTTATTATTTATCTTTTTCTCTTCTTTTTTATTCGTATAAAAAGGGAAAATGGCGCTTAAACGTATTAACAAGGTTCGTAGGATTAGGGTTTAGGGTTTAGGGTTTTTACGATTGAAGTTTCTAGGACTCTTTCGCGTTTCTAGAATTTTTTACATTTTCTAGGGTTTAGGGTTTAGAGTTTAGGGTTTAGGGTTTAGGGTTTGTATGCAGGAGCTCAATGACCTAAGCAAGGACCCGCCTACAAATTGTTCTGCGGGGCCTGTTGGAGATGATCTGTTTCATTGGCAGGCCACGATTATGGGCCCTGAAGATAGGTAAACCCTAAACCCTAATTGACCCTAAACCCTAATAAACCCTAAACCCTAATAAACCCTAACTGGCGCCGTCGTAAACCCTAAACCCTAGCTGCTGGGGGTCGTCTTTGAACCCTAGAAATGGCATAAAGAGGAAGCGTCTCTATAATAGTATAGGAGGAGGAGAGGATACTCCCTCGTCGCTTAAAGGAATTATTACCCATTAGGGTTTAGGGTTTAGGGTTTGTGTATTTTTTTTTGCAGCCCTTATACGGGCGGTGTTTTCTTCTTAAATATTCATTTTCCCTCCGACTATCCATTTAAACCCCCAAAGGTAAACCCTAAACCCTAAACCCTAATAATAAACCCTTACTATCTATATACCCTTTTCTTTCTTATCTACTCCCTGTAGCCCTCCCTCTCTCCCGTTGCTGCTATTGCTGCAACTCCTGCTGCTGTTGCTGCTGCTGCTGCTGCTGCTGCTGCTGCTGCTGCTGCTGCTGCAGGTGAACTTTACTACAAAGATATACCACCCTAATATTAATGGCCAAGGGGCAATCTGTTTAGATATATTAAAGGACCAATGGTCTCCTGCCTTGACCATCAGCAAAGTATTATTATCTATCTCTTCTCTACTTACAGACCCCAATCCAGGTAATTAGGGTTTAGGGTTTAGGGTTTAGGGTTTGGCTGTTGATGTATAAATATCCTGGTACACACCACCTCCCCTTTTAATTCTTCCTAGGGTTTATAATGAGGGTTTATATATTTATATTTATATTTATTATAATCCTCTCCTTCCCCTCTATCTATCTAACCTTTCAAGGGTTTATTAGGGTTTAGGGTTTAGGGTTTAGGGTTTTTTTTTTTTTTTTTTTTTTTTTT